CTCAGGTGCTTATAACTAATCTCTCTGCCCGGCACTCAAGGTTCTCCATAAAATTAGTCCTTCCTTTTCTCTCCAATGCACCCTCTGCTCTGGTCAAACATCCTCGTCATCTCCCCTGTTCACACCTTTCGGTAACACCGGCCATTTCCCTTCCCCACCTGCTTCTGCTTAAGCTTCTAGCCTCTTATCCAACCTTCTGGGACCATTCTTTCCCCAGACACTCACTGCTCCCTTTCCCCACAACTGGCAGGGGGCTGAGACACAGGCAGGGAGCTGTGGATTCTTGATCTCTATTCATCAGGCATTCAAAAGGCCCAGGGCCACTAAAGAAAGTGAGCAGCAAGCACGTCCAGGGAGCAATGTAAAAGAATTTCATTCTACCATTCCATGTCTTTCTGTCCTTTCCTTGATTCTGGGGAGGAAACGTGTACTGACCAAAATGGTAACACTAAACTAGTCAGTATTCTCAAAGTTCATCATACTGTTTCACCACTTTACTTTGCCTATGCTATTCTCTCAGCCTGGAAGGTCCTGGCTAACACCCATCTGGAACCCCCATTTGCTGGGCAATGTCTATTCCTGTTCAAACTGCATGTCATCTACAAACCCTTACCCCCAGACTCTTTCTCTTTATGATAACATCTTTTACCATCTAAGGGTCAAAGGCTACGCTTAAGTGCTGTACACTTTATCTCAGGTGTTGAGCTCTGTTAAGAGTCAGGCCTGTGTCCCATCCATCTTAGGATCTCTGGAATCTAATACAGTGCCTGCCACAAAGAGGCACATTCGTGTATCATATTGATAACACCAACACATTAGAATGATATGCCTTTAATGAAATTTTTGGTGGTTTCACACACTTTTTTTTTTTTTTTTTTTTGAGACAAAGTCTCACTCCGTTGCCCAGGCTGGAGTGCAAATAGCATGATCTCGGCTCACTATAACCTCTGCCTCCCAGGTTCAAGCGATTCTCCTGCCTCAGCCTCCCACATAGCTGGGATTACAGGCATATGCCACCACACCCGGCTAATTTTGTATTTTTAGTAGAGCCGGAGTTTCTCCATGTTGGTCAGCCTGGTCTCGAACTCCTGACCTCAGGTGATCCGTCCACATCAGCCTCCCAAAGCACTGGGATTACAGGTGTGAGCCACCACACCAGCCCTTCACACACATTTTTTAAGCCTTACTAGTTTGCTCTGTAGGTAGGAGAAATTATCAAAGTTTACTTATGTGAACATTTGGTAGTTTTCATCAGCCCTAGACCTGGATTCCTTGACTATAGGTTAGAAAACTGCTCTGAGGAGCCATCTAGTCCACCTTATAGCTCTGGAATGTTGTCTTGGACACAGTAATAAATAAATAAACATTTATTGTTTAAAGCTGAGATATAAGTCCTCGTATAGCTAAGGAAGTATGATAAAAGCACAGTTTCTCAATCCTTCTTTGAACATTGCTCCAATTTTCCCATTGAGCTCATTCTGGAAGCTTAAACCAAATCTTCCCCTGACATCACATGCCCATTAACTTAGACATGATTTAGCATCTCATCATGGCATCTTCGCTGAGAAAGCTAGAAAGAAAATATTCTCCCTGGCACCCAGCCTAGAAATAGCCATATTCCTCTAAACTCATGACTTAAAGACTTCACTTCCCCCAAACAGCCCCTGCTGGACTAGTTAGTAAAATCAGGCTAGAAAGGCTGATGCTAACGGGGGAGATATGGCGGTGCAGCATCCTTTTGTCTTGCCCAGCACCTGCTCCTTGGGGTTCTTGCAATTCCTCACGAAAAAGCACAGACCAATACTCACACTAGAGAAAGAGATCAGCAGTGGAACGTGGTAGTAATCTTGTCCGTGTTTTGAAGCCTCTCACACCACTCCTCTCTAAACTACCTGGCCAAGGTTCTGGGCACACAGTGTACAACTCCCATGGTCCTTAGACAACTCTGGCTGGAAATGTAGAGAGGTCAGCATTTGGGGACTCACAGAGAAGAGGGTCCAGGGAAGATGCATGGCTACCCAAAACATCTGTTGACCCTTTAAGGAGCTGGTGAGGACTCAGCAAAGAACACCTGGCTCTGTCCCCTAACAATGGGGGAAAGGAATTGCTTCAGATTGCTGTAACTTAACTAGCTTTCACAATGCTCCCACTCCCCTTTAACACACACACACACACACACACACACACACACTCTCTCTCTCTCTCTCTCTCTCTCTCTCTCCATATATATATATACACACACATACACACATATATATAACGTTGCTGGTAAGTAATGGCTACCATTTATTGAACACCTGAAAATGTTAATTACTTTATATATATTGTCTCATTTAATCTTCATGACCAGTCCATTAGGCAGTGGCTCTCAAACTTGACCTTGCATCAGAATCTCTCCAGGAACTTATTAAGCCCCCACCCACAGCCCATGTAGTGAGGCCTGAGGATCTCCATTTACAACAAGCTCACAGGTGATAAAGATGTCCCACTTTGAGAACCACTGCCACAGGGAAACAGAGATTCAAGAGTGGTTTGGAATGTCTTGCCTATAGTTCCACAGCTAGTAAAGAAGAGATGCAGAATGTGAACCTAGATCTCTCTGACTCTACAGTAGCTGGTAAGCATTTTACTGTATGTGTGAATATATGCCTCACCTTCCAAATTCACTGGCAGATCCTTAAAGGCAGATGTCAATCACACTTTAGACCTCCCTTATCCGTCTCAGAACTTCATAGGGTCTTTGGACTTGGTAGGTGCTACATAAATACTTTGTATACTGGTTCCTACATATCTACACACTTCTAGGAGCCACAAATTCAAACACAACTAAAGCCAAAGAACACAAAAAGGGCAGCATAGCCAGACCTGGTTCTACATGATATTCTCTCTTGCTACTCTCTTTGCCCATGCTGCCACCATACTAACTCCTACTCATTCTTCAGTCATTTCTCCAGAAAACTATCCTGGGCTCCCTAAAATTGGGGGCCACTACAACCTAAGTTTACCTCTATGATGGCACTTATCAATCCACTATAACTGGCTATTTTTCAACTCTTAAACCAGTTGGTGAAGGCCAGCATCTAGTTTATAGCATACCCCCAGAGCCTAGCACAGCACCTGGCACTTCACAGGCACTCCATAAACTGCTGAATGAATAAATGCAGAGCTACAAGTCCTAAATTCCATGTAAAAATATCACAATACATGATGCACAGTTCTCGAAGATGAATCCCAGGGAAGAGGAAGGCAGCCTAGGTAACAAAGATCAATTTTGCCTTTTCTCCTCCCGATCACTCTTCTCACACTTGAAGAACATGAGCCGCTTAGGGCAGCATCATCCGTGATGAGACAACATCCTAGCTGAACAAAATGCTCGTGGGCTATGAGGGGAGAAAAAGTGCTCTGTTGCCCCTCATTTCTCCGATTTCTCTGACACACGCTCCTTTTCACCATTTCTCCACCCCACTGTAGTCAAGGGCTTTGGCACAGGGATGAAAGAGACAGATCAGACTCAAGGGTGCGGATCTGGCAGCGGGCACAGAAGCATCTCCCAGTCTGCACCAAAGTCCACAGGAAAGATCCAAAGGGACAGTGACTCAGGCCCCAGATAAAGCCTAGCTAGAGCAGTACTGAGAATGGAAGAGCAATAATTTCACAAGAACATTAACTGTCAGACATCTTTTTTTTTACATCGTGTTTTTAAAGTACAGGCTTCAACTCTATTCCCAGAAAACTGGGCCCTGCTGAATCCAGCGCTTACACAAGCTGAGAGCCAAACACAGCTTCTTCCTCTTCCAAACCCACCCACCAGCCTGCAACACTCACCATGACAAGCATTTCCCAGGGCCAGGTCAGGACCCTTGCTTCAACTTTAGCTCGCAAAAGGCCCCTTTTTAAAGATGCCCCTTAGCTTTCTCTCCTCCCTTGCTAATAAAACTGTTCCCTACCACCACCATGTTGCAGTAATAGAGACCTCTCCCTTCCTCCAACCCCTCTCAGTCTATAACACAACCTACAGCAGGTTGGCCCCATCCAATTAGTCTGAATTGCTTCATGCCAAGGAAATTGCTGCTTTTATTAAAAATAAAAACACACTAGGCAGGCAATGGGCTGTGAAAAGTATGAGTCTGGCATAATTATGAAGGTCGAGGTTAAGGTTACCAAAAGAGATATGCAAAGATTTCCCAAAAGCCTGGGGGAATAAAGATGGATATCTACATGAGTATAGATACACAGATGAAACACAGAGGAAATTTACGAAGCAGATCTAAATAACATCCTCCCTGACAGGGAAAAAACAAAATCAGAGCCACTCTCAAGTAATTTTTCTTTTGGTTAAAAAAACAAAAACAAAACCTAAAGCCAGGGGAAGAGGGGCCTGCTAGATTGAGTTCAAAATAACCACATTTGTTTTATATAATTTCTGTTATCTTTGCTATATCCTGGGGACCTGATTACAGTTGGGTCAGGAAACAAACCTAGTGAAATCCACCAAGAGCCCCTTGGAAAAACACAGTCACATTCTCCGAAAATCCTCTCTTCCTTCCAATGCCTGCTCATGGAAGTGGGAAAGTTGGGTAGGAGAAGGAGAAACCCTCTCTTCTTAAAACTCCCCCCATCCCCACCCTTCAGCCTTCACATCAAGATTTTAAGTTTTAGGAGGATGACAAGCCCATCACCCTACGTTTGGCATAAAGCTTTACACTTTCACACATACGTTTTCTTGTGTGATCCTCAAAATCCGGCTTCTTAATATTAAAAAAATAAAAATAAAAGGCCACTAAGGTAAACAATTTCGGCAACCTCCCCACACCCCCATAAGCCCAGTCACTTTCAAATCTCAATTTTAAATCTCTCAAGGACAATGACTCACAGGGCAAGTGAAGGGGGAAGGGGGGGTCAACTGGTCAAAGCCCATTCATACGTGCAACAACTAGAAACCACAGTCTTGCCGCATCAGCACAAGATTTTAATTTACGGCGCATTGAGCCCCGCCGTACCTTCCGCCAACACCTCGTCCACTGTGACCTGCTGTCGCCCGATGCCAAAGACTCTTCCGATGTAGCCACTGCCCAGGCCCGAGGTGCTGCCCCCTCCTCCGCTGGAGCCGGAGCCCAGGCCAGAGCCGCCCTGCTCTCGCCGGGAGTCGAAAAACTTCTTCATCTTGCGAATAGGAAGCAGCAAAGCAAAATACCGATGGTTTCTAGATTTTTTTTTTTTTTTTTTTTTTAAGAAAAGAGATCCAAGGATTTCTTCTCGGATTTCAGCTCGGAGAGGAGCCACCCGAATCCGGCCGTGGGGGTGGGGGCTGAGGGAGGATGCCTATAGGAATATGCGTGTCAATCGCGCGGCGGGTCCCCTCCTCCTCCAGAGAGCGATTCGTGTAAGTTTAAACCTGTGATGACAGAGGAAGAGAGAGACGATGAATCAGTAACACACTTAAAAATTCAACCGCTGAGTCCTAGGGGGAGCAAAAGCCATCATCCTGGGGAAACGCTTCATGCATTTTCCTGGCAAGAAAAACCCTGGGGCTGAAAACGCGACCCCGGCCCCAGAACCCAGGACCCCCTATCCGGGAGCTCGGAGAAAGGAGGGATCCGAGCTGCACGGGCAGCGCTGACCCTCCCGGGCACTGCCTCCCGCTCCTCCCGGGTCTCCCCGCCGCCCCTCGAGGCGGCATCCTGGCAGCACCCACTTGAGACGGTTCAGCGGCCGGCGCCCAGCTACCAGCCCCGCGACATTGTCACGGCCGCCGGGCCGGCCTGCGACGCAGAGAGGAGGCGGCGCTGCAGCGAGAGCCGGGGCCGCGCTCGGCGCCCGCCCGCCCGCCAGCTGATCCCGGGAGCGCCGGGCGGAGACTGACCCGCCGCCCCTCCCCCGCGCGCGCTCCCGCCTGGCTCCATCCACCCAACCAGGAAGTGAACCGCCGCCGGAAGTGCCCCTCGGGGCGGCGCGGAGAGGGACCGAGCCCTCTCCTGCAACCGCTGTTCTGTTGCCACAGATGAGAAGGAGTCGACGGCGAGAAGGGGACCGGGGGGAAGGGGTTCTCAGTGCAGAGAGAGAGTTCTGGAAAAAACTGTTGATATCGCCCGAGCCGCAGGGCAAGCTGGGAAAGGTAGCTCGGCGCAGTCCGGCTGCTGGACTACAACTCCCAGCATGCTCCTGGAAGAGCGGGCAAGGCGGCAGCGGTGGCCCCCACGGCTTCGAAAGAGGTTTGTGGGGTGGCGCGTTTGTGGGGACTCGGCAATTTAAACACATCCCGTGAAGAAACTGCCAACGACGAGGTTTCCCCCTGCTGTATGTTCCACCCTCCTGGAGCCATCTTATTTGCGGCCTGGCCTCCTGGCACAAGGGATTCTGGAGGTTGTGGTTTCCGAACGGATCGAGACTGACACCTGAAGGACGCGGCTTAATCGCTTAGCCCAGAGCGGGTCCTATGGGGTTTCCCGACGTCACCTGGGCTGAAATGGAAGCAAGAAGTGATCGGGAACATTGTGCTGGCAGTTGGATCCGGCTGCACTGGAGCGCCAGCCTTAAAATAAGTAAAACCAATGCCCTTCCGCCCCTAACCTCAAAAGCTGCTTTTGCTTCTAGATGTTATTGACAGCCGGCTCTGCGGTCAGCTCTGAGCTAGGCGCTGTGAGAACGCTCAGTAAGACTGTCTCGTCTGGAAATGTACAGGCGAGATTCAAACCGAGAAACTGCCAAGGATTGTCTGCAGAGGAGATCCTAGGATACCAAAGACGAAGCCCGTTGGCTTGACCCCCCAAACTCGGGGGCTCTTCAGCCCATGCTGCCCCGTAATTCTTCCTCCTTTGCTGACGCTGTGGGTGCGCCCCATAGCCTGACCTTCACTAACCCCCTTGCACACAAGAACGCTAACTCTAAACTGATCAGTTATTTATTTTTCACTTCAAGATTCTTCCACTGAGGCTTATGTTTCCCTGATACCGTTTTAAGTGCTGAGGGTAGGGGTGAACTGTGTGATTTGCATCTGCCAAATGCAGACAATTTGGAAGGCCAGTTGGTACACTTTTCCAACCCTAGATTTCCTGATGGATGATGCTGAAGGTAGTGGCAAGTCTCTGACAAAAACAAACAAAAAACCTGTGATTTATTAATATGATTTTTCTAACTCCTGAATATGGGCTATTTTTCATCTCCACCCGCTCTTCCCACTCCCAGTGCTTGTCGCAGAATTTTTTTCAGCGGGCATTTGAGTAGAAAAGGGTGCCCCAGGAAAAAAAATGGTTCTTGCTTCCTCGAATCTGAATACTGAGCTGAGCTGTGACTGGGCTAACAGTGGCGTTTGTTGTTGTTGTTGTTGCTGCTGCTGCTGCTCCTGTTTCAAGTAGTGCCATTGTAATTAAACTCCCTGGGTAGAGATAGCATCTTTTCTCCCGGAGAGTCAGTGTTGTCAACTCAGTTCACAAATTCATGCAGCCACCTCCAGGGTGAAATGCAGCACCTATTCCCTCAAACTAAGCCCAGGAAGGCATGTTCTCTGCACTTTCCTTAAAAGGCCAGATTTCTGTCTAAGGAAGTTTGAAACAGATCTTAAAATAGATGAGAAAGCTCATTTGGAATTAGACTTCGTTGACCCCCATCTTTCTCAGCACCTATTTGTCTTGACTGACTTTTTTTTCTTTTTTTTTTTTTTAAGAAAAAGCTCTGCTAGGTCCTAAAATCAATCTAGTGCTAATCTCAGTTTTTACTTTTCTAGACTTCCTTGGTACCAGACTAGGCCAGGCTTACACAAATCTCCAGTCTTAATTCAGTGATACAAAAACTCCCAATAGGCTTAAGGTAGCTAACATGCACTTATTGACCATCCACGTGAATGCTCTGATCAGAATCTGAGGGAAGAGGTTTAAAAAAAAAAAACAAAAAATAGATGATTAGATTCCTTGCCCTCCATTCCCTCACAGACTAATAGCAATTATAATGACAAATCCAGTTTTTCTTGCTTTGTACATATTAAGTATGTAATGCTCACAACAATCCTGTGAAATAAAATGAATAAAAATACTCATAGGTGGGTAAATAAATCAGATTAGTGACTTGCCCAAAGTCACACAGTACATAGCAAAGCCAAGATTCAAACCCAAACATTTTAGCTTCAGAACCCACTTCTTACCTGGCTATACTAAACCATCTACTTAGAGACAGCAAACATTAACTGATTAAAAGACTTGAGAGTAGTTAGAAACCTATGCACAAGCAGCATAGGACCAGGAGACAGGAAACCTCTGCCACTTCATAGCTGGGACTCTAGACCACTTATGTCACTGGGCTTATTTTCTCAGCTATAAAACTAGAGCTCTTACAACTCTTATTAATTTTTTAGTTCCTGAGTTCAAAATAATGAACAGATCAGCCACTATCATCTCAAAATTATCACACTTACTTTCTGTATAATTTGTCCCACTCTGCTCTGCATTCCTATTCAACTTTTAATGTATATTGATGTCTCAACCAAATACATCAAAGCTAGAGAACGGTCTTCTACTTATCTCCTTGAGCATCCAGTATAATAGTTTAGGCAGAGTATGTTCTGACTAGTACTTAAATAAGGTAAATAACTGACTTGAAATTAAATGTGATACAAAAGAGAGCTATCTGATTAAGGTGGAAAGACTGAAGTATCGTAGATGAGTTTTGAACTAGATGTGGACGATACTATGGATAAATACTCAAAGGGAGTGGGAAAGAAACTGGCATTTGCTGTTGTTACAATAGCCATTATAAGACTGAAGGAACAGACTCTTTGTGGCAATAAGATGCCAGATTATAAACAAGACCTAAGGCTATGTCAGGCAAGGATTAAGTCACACATCCCTACACTTGAAGAGTATGTTTTTCTTTTTCCCTGGTAGCTAAATAGACACTGGCCTAGACATGAGCAATATTGAAACAATTGTTTCTCACTGACCACCAGATGCCAGCTAACTAATTGTATCCCCCCAACCCCTGTTCCACAAGCCATAACTACCGCTTTGATTGGACAAGAGACTGATTTCAGTAACATCCTAGTAAGAGACCACCAACCACAGACGGGTTCTGGCTGGTTTTTCAGAGGCTGTGCACTGAGCGCCTTCATGTCCTCTGCTTCATCTAATTGTAATACATTTAAATGTTAAATCTCCACCCCAAAGAGAACATAAGACATATGTAATATGCACAGTTTACTAACTATGCATCCATGTACTGCCCCCCACTTTGTGAATAATCAAATAACTTCTTAAATATGCATTCTTAGCCAACTCATTTGGCATAAATTCCCGTTCTACTCTTTCCTCCCTCTAAATGCCGGCTTTCAGTCTCTGCCAGAGTCGACACTTCCCAGCCTGTCAGGATCACCAAACTGCAGGCTGCAACCCTTTATAAAAAATAAAGCTCAGCCAGGCACAGTGACTCATGCCTGTAATCCCAGCACTTTGGGAGGCCAAAGTGGGTGGATCACCTGAGGTTGGGAGTTCAAAACCAGCCTGACCAACATGGAGGAAACCCCATCTCTACTAAAAATACAAAATTAGCCAGATGTCATTGCAGGCTTCTGTAATCCCAGCTACTCAGGAAGCTGAGGCAGGAGAATCGCTTGAAACCGGGAAGTGGAGGTTGTGGTGAGCCAAGATTGCACCATTGCACTCCAGCCTGAGCAACACGGGCAAAACTCCATCTCAAAAAGAAAAAGAAAAGAAAGGAAATAAAGCTCTCCTCTCCAAATTTATAAACCTTGGGATTCTTCAGTTAACACTGTGTGTCTTCTATATGCCAGTTACTGAATTAAAAACCTATTATCTTGTTTTATTGTTATATTTTTGTTTTATTTTATTTATTTATTTTGAGACAGAGTCTCACTTTGTAGCCCAAGCTGTATTGCAGTGGTGTGATGTTGGCTCCCTGCAACCTCTGCCTCCCAGGCTCAAGAGATTCTTGTGCCTCAGCCTCCTGAGTAGCTGTGACTACAGGTGTGTGCCACCCTACCTGGCTAATTTTTTGTATTTCAGTGGAGACAGGGTTTCACCATGTTGCCCAGGATGGTCTCAAACTCCTGAGCTCAGGCGATCCACCCACTTCAGCCTCCCAAAGTGCTGGGACTACAGGCATGAGCCACCATGCCCAGCCTATTTTTATTTTTTCAAATAATTATATTAAAAATAGAGATGGGGTCTCATTTTGTTGCCCAGGTTGGCCTCAAACTCCTGCACTCAGGTCATCCTCCCACCTTGGCCTCCTAAAGTGCCAAGATTACAGATGTGAGCCACCCTGCCTAGCTGATATTATTTTATTTAATCTTCATGGTTGCATACCTACAAAGTAGACAGTATTATCTATTTTATCAAAGAAAATACTGTTATACTATTATTCCCAATTTTATAGATGTATGATGAAGATTTTGTTAGTAGCTAACGAACTGTATGGTTTGTTAGGTTTGAAGGAAATTATTTGACCTGTAGTACAGCTAAATCATGCCACCATAAACCCAGTTATAGCAAAAGTGTGTTGTATCTTTGAGGAAATCAAAGGGAAGAAGACCACCATTAATTAAAATCCTTAACTAAGTCAAGCACTATATTCAGTATTTAATCATACCATTTAACCTTCACAATACATCTATGAGGTGTGCATTACTTTTATCAGTGCGGAAACAGGCTGAGCAGGGTTAGTCTGTCAACTGTTGCTACAAAACAGGAGAAAAGGGCAGAACCAAAACTGACCTCAAAACCCACATCATTTTCATTATACCATGTAGGCTTTCTATGTTGCTGTCTTTTAGCGAAGTGGAACTTGTTAGAAATGCAAATTTTAGGGCCCCATCCAAACCTACTTAATAAGAGGGAGGGACAGAAGCAGCAGTTTCTGTTCACAAACCATCCAGGTAATTCTAATACACATTCAAGTTTGAGAACCACTGTTTAGCCTAAGCAAACTTGTAAGAACCATGTTCTTTCTTTAAAAATGGCATTTCGTGGCCAGGCACAGTGGCTCACGCCTGTAATCCCAGCACTTTGGGAGGCTGGGGCTGGTGGATCACTTGAGGTCAGGAGTTCGATACCAGCCTGGCCAACATGGTGAAACCCCATCTCTACTAAAAATACAAAAATTAGCCAGGCATGGTGTCTTGCACCTGTAATCCCAGCTACTTGGGAGGCTGAGGCACAAGAATTGCTTGAACCTGGGAGGCAGAGGTTGCAGTGAGCCAAGATCACACCACTGTACTCCATCCTGGGAGATAGAGTAAGACTCCATCTCAAAAAAAAAAAAAAAAAAAAAATCATTTTTTTATTAAAAAAAAAAACTTTTAATTTTCCTTTTTTAACTGAGCCTTGTCTTATTTTCCACTTGATTTTGGTTTTGGATTTTGTTTAGGAAAGTAATTATGTGCTCATTGAAGAAAGTAGATAGGAAAAAATAAAAATCAGCTATAATTCTACCACTCAGCAATAACTGCTATGACATTTTGATCAATTTCCTTTTAGCATTTTCCCATATATAAGTACATTTCTTACTATATTAGATCACATTATATATTTAATATTTTTTCATTTAATGGTTTCCTATTTCATTGTATATTCTCTAAAAACATTCTTTTAGTGGCTGCTTAATAGTGCTTTACTGTCAAATGTTTTATTTTAAAATGTTACTTTTTATATATGATTAGAATGAATATTCTTTTGTATTCTCTCGTGTGCTTCTTTATTGATTTCCTCTTCTTCTTTTTTTTTTTTTTTTTTTCAAGACAGGGTCTTTCTCTGTTGCCCAGGCAGGAGTGCAGTGGCACAATCTCAGCTCACTGCAGCCTCAACCTCCTAGGCTCAAGCAGTCCTCTCACCTTAGCCTTCTGAGTAGCTAAGACTACAGGTCCACCACACCTGGCTTTTGTTGTTGTTGTATTTTTGTAGAGACAGGGTTTCACCATGTTGCCCAGGCTGGTCTTGAACTCCTGAACTCAAGCAATCCACACTCATCAGGCTCCCAAAGTGCTGAGATTAAAGGTGTGAGCCACTGCGCCTGGCCTGATTTTCTTTCTTTTTTTTTGCTAAGATGGATTCTCACTCTGTCGCCCAGGCTGGAATACAATGGCACGATCTCGGCCCACTACAACCTCCACCTCCCAGTTTCAAGCAATTCGCCACCCTCAGCCTCCTGAGTAGCTGGGATTACAGGCACCTGCCATCATACCCTACTAATTTTTGTAGACTGGGTTTCACCATGTTGGCCAGGCTGGTCTTGAACTCCTGACCTCAGGTGATCCACCTGCCTCGGCCTCCCAAATGCTAGGATTACAGGCGTGAGTCACCGTGCCCAGCCGCCTGATTTTCTTTCTAAAGCTACATTTTTACAAATGGAATAACTGGGTCAAAGGTATGAATGTTTTTATAGCTAGAGAGCCAAAGTATCTTCTAGGAAATTGATGTTTATTTGTTCTCCACTCACTGATCCAGCAAACAAATATTTATTAAGCACCATGTGCTAGACTTTAGAAAGTTTATTACAATAAACAAAATAGTTACACTCTTTGCCCTCAAGAAGCTTTTGGTGGTTTTTTTCTTTTTTCTTTGAGACGGGGTCTTGCTCTGTCACCCAGGCTGGAATGCAGAGGCAGGATCATAACCTGAGCCTATCAAGGGATCCACCCACCTCAGCTTCCTGTGTAACTGGTGCACAGCACCACACCCAGCTAATTATTTCTTAATTTTTTGTAGGGACAGGGTGTTGCTATGTTGCCTAGGCTGATCTTGAACACCCAGCCTGAAGCAGTCCTCCTGCCTCAGCCTCCCAAAGTGTTGGGATTACAGGTGTGAACCATTGTGTCTGGCTAGAAGTTTTGATCTTAAAAGAAGGCATTAAATCCTAAGTATATCCATACCCTTGCCAACACTGAGTTTGTGCAGTTTAAAAAGAAATCAATTTCATTTTGGGGGTAGGAATGGTGTTTATTGTTATTGTTTAAATTAGTGAGGTTGAACAATTTTTCATGTTCATTTATTTATTCATCAGTTGTTTATTAAGCATCTATTATATGCTAAAACAATGCTAGCCACTGGAAATATTATAAAGAAAATGGACATGTGTTTTCCTTTACAGAGTTTATAATCTATTAATTATTGGATATGTATATTTCTTCATTTTTAAATTATATTTTTTTCCATTTTTCTATTGGAACTTTTTTTCAGAATTGATTTGAGTGCTTCTTTATTCAATCAGTATGTAATGAACTATCCTGTACTAAGCACTACTGTGCAAAACAAGATAAACAAGGTTTTTCCTCCTAGAGAGCTTATATTGGGGTCAGGGCAAAGAGAACACAATAAATAAGTCAAGGAAAATGTCAGAGTAATTAATGGTATGCAAATAGTTATACTAGAGTGATGTGATAGTGTCTGAATGACAACTTGAGATTGGATGTTCAATTCTGCATATATTAATTGTGTTAATTAAAACCTATTTTCACATAAATGGAAATTTTTTTTCTCTAGTTTGATGTTAACCTTTTTTTTTTTTTTTTGGATGAAGGGTTGTTTTTGAAACTTTTTTTCCTGATTATGATAATACATAATCATTTTGTAACATTTGAAAATATCTAAAAGCAGAAAAAAAATAAACCTCAGTTGCTTTCATTACTTATAAGTAAACCCTATCAACAGAAAGGTACATGGATATTCTTTCTGCCTTTTTCAGGGGCATGTGTGTGTGTGTGTGTGTGTGTGTGTGTGTAATTTTAGTTGATAGAGAATATAGTCTATTACAACTTGTTTTTTTCACTATGTGTAAAGGAGCTCTGTCAGATGCTGGGAATAAAAATGATAAAATTATAAACAAAAATAGGCATGAGATTTGCCTATTTAAAAATCATAGATTTCTTTAACTGGCAAGGGGAGGGGCCATGGAAGCAGAAGGGTGGTTAGGACATAAATGTTAGTCAAGTAATCACACAAATATATTTAAAATTAGAAGGTATAGATTTTATCTCATTAACCATTGTAACCCCAGCACATAAAACAGTATTGGGAATCAGTGGTCTACTTTCATTCATTCATATTTTGCATTCTCTCATAAATGTAAAAATATTCTCTGTATTTGTGATTACGTCCATTTCTTGTTCCTAATTTTGTATATTTATGTTTTCTTCCATTTTATTTTTATTAGACCGTTTGTTGACCTACCTTCCTTTCCTTCTTTCTTTTTTTTTTTTTTTTTTTTTTTTTTTTTGCTAAATATGGTATACTTAAATAAGAGCAGAGAGCAGAGAGCCAAAGGTTATCACAATATAAGGAAAGGTTCTGACAATAAAGATAGAACCCAAAACACGCCAACAGGAAAAATGAAACAAAGAAGAAAAAGACAATATGGGGAGAAGAAAACTTTGAGAAATCTACTATCGAACTTCTCTGAGAAAGATAAGATAAAACAGAAATGCTGGGCATGGTGACATAAGACTGTAGTCCCTGCTTCTCCACAGGCTGAGGTGGGAGGATCTCTTGAGCCCAGTTTGAGGTTGTAGTGTGCTGTTATCATGCCTGTGAACTGCCACTGCACTCTAGCCTGGGACACATAGCAACACCCTGTGTCAATAATAATAATTTTAAAAATCTCTTAAAAATCAACAATCAGAGAATCAAACAGAGTTCTTTTAAATTAAAAATGATAGCAAAAATGAAACCCAGTAAAATGCTAAGAAAATAAAGTTAGAAAATATCCTAAAGAATGTATAGCCAAAAGACCAAAAGAAGGGAAAAAAATAAGAAAGGGTAAGAAAATTAGAAAGCCAGCCCTGGACATCTGGGAAACAGGGGCAGAAATGAATTAAATAATTCAATTATATATTTTGTAAACTAAAGAGCATGAGATTCCACAGTGAAAGTGCTCACTGAGCAGAGTGCAATGGACAAAACCAGAAGCACACCAAGGCACATCGTGACAAAACTTCAGAAGACTGAGGACATAAGGAAGATCTTTCAAGTGCCCAGGAGGAAATGAAGTTTCACATAAAGGATCCAGAATCAGAATGGCATCTGATTTCTCAGTAGCAACGCATAAAACTGAAAGACAATGGAATAATGTCTTTAAAATCTGAGGGAAAATTACTTCCAACATAGATTCTCATACCCATCCAAATTAGTAGTAAAGCATGGGGTTAAATGTATTTCAGACACATACAATTTCAAAATATTTATCTTCCATGTACATTTTCTTAAGAAGCTTTCAGAAGATGAAAGCTTTTCCACCAAAACAAGGACATAAACAAAGAAAGCTTTTGTTTGTTTGTTTTTAAGTGAATAGCAGAAGGAACAACTGAAAATTGAATGGTGGGGAAGGGTAATAAGCCAACACTATCGTTACAGCTTCCTAATTTTCCTTAACTGTAGAGTACACCTAATATTTACTTACTATGTGCCAGTCACTATTCTAGGTGCTTTACATATATGGTATCAATCAGTTAATCCTCACAACAGCCCTATCAGTGAGATTCTTGCATAGAGTAGGTGTCAGTAAGTATTACTATTGACGGCATACAATAGTTATTAATTGAACAAATCGAATTAAACTTCCTGTGGCAGACCGTATTTTTCAAAACTGGCTGCAACAACATGTTCAATCCCATGTGCACTTCCAAAAACCCAACCCCCAACTCAATCAAGAGATGGCATCTATGTCCTTTCACCTTGAACACAGATAGACTTCTTGGATAGGTTTCTGTGACTGCACCTCTAAAGTAATGCTATGTTGGCCAGGTGCAACGGCTCACACCTGTAATCCCAGCACTTTGGGAGGCTGAGGCAGGCAGATCACTTGAGGTCAGGAGTTCGAGACCAGCCTGGCCAACATGTTGAAACCCTGTGTCTACTAGAAATACAAAAATTAGTCGAGTGTTGTGGTACGCACCTGTAATCCCAGCTACTCAGGAGGCTGAGGTGGGAGAATTGCTTGATCCTGGGAGGCGGAGGTTGCAGTGAGCTGAGATTGCACCACTGCACGCTAGCCTGGGTGACAGAGCAAAACTCTGTCTCAAAACAAACAAATACACAAAAATAAATAAGGTAATGCTATATGACTTTCAAAATTGCATCTTGAAAGGTAGTACAGCTTCCATCTAGCTCTCTTGCTCAGAATATGTGCCTTTGGAGCATATAAGTACATGAAACTACCATGCGGTAGAGATCACGTGAACAGACCACATAAAGAGTCCGAGGAGGCCTGGCTGTTCCAGCCCCAGCAGTTTGAGTTTTCTCTGTCCCCGTGCCAGACATGTGAATGATTCTCAAGCCCTCAAAATGACTGTGGCATGATCCCTGTCTCATGGCAGCCAGGTGATAAAATGTGAGTGGAATCACCTAGCTGAACCCAGTTACTCACCAGAATCATGAGACAACAACAACACATGGTTTCACACCCCAGAATTATGGGTGTTATGTTTTGGAGCGAAAGACGAGCAGAATATTTCCAGATAAAAGTGGTTTTAGCCTAGACTTCTGAATCTCCTGTCCCTATACTCATTTAAATTGCCCAAGGCACGTAAAAAAGAGAATTTTATTTTATTTTTTATGTATTTATTTTTTGAGACGGGGTCTTGCTCTGTCACCAGGCCAAGAGGGGAATTTTTATCCTGAGTGGCAAGTCTCCTCCCTCTCTAATACTGTAGCTGAATCCAAAGCTTATAGACACAAGTGATAAAAAAAAAAATAGATTAATTGATTGGGCTGGGCACAGTGGCTTATGCCTATAATCCCAGCACTTTGGGAGGCTGAGGCAGGCGGATTGCCTGAGCTTAGGAGTTTGCAACCAGCCTGAGCAACATGGTGAAACCCTGTCTCTACTAAAATACAAAAAAGTTAGCCAGGCATGGCAGTGTGTGACTGCAATCCCAGCTACTTGGGAGGCTGAGGCAGGAGAATTTCATGAACCTGGGAGGCAGAGGTTGCAGTGAGCCGAGATCAAACCACTGCACTCCAGCCTGGGCAACAGAGCGAGACTCCATCTAAAAATAAAAAAAGATTAATTGGATTTTATCAAAATTAAGAACTCTTCAAAAAACACTTAAGAAAACAAAAAACCCACAGAATGGGAGAAAATGTGCTATCATATATTGTATTCAGAATATATAAAGAACTCATAACTCAGCAATAAAAAGCAACAAATAAGCTAATTTAAAATGCACAAAAGATCTGAATAGGCATTTCTGCTAAAAAGGTACACATATGGCCAATAAACACATGAAAAGATGCTAAACATCATTAATTATTGGGGAAATGCATACCAAAACCACAATGAGATATTACTTTACAGCCATTAGGGTTGCTGCAATTGAAAAATACAGACAATAACAAGTGTTGACAAAGATGCAGAGTAACTGGAACTCTCATACAATGCTGGTAGAAATGTAAAATGTGCAATGGGTAGAAAACAGTTTGCCAGTTTCTCAAAAGGTTAAACAGTGTCACTATATGACACAACAATTCCAGTCTTAATAATATACCCAAGAGGAATAAAAACATATGTCTATAAAAAAAAAACTTATACATAAATGTTCATAGCAGCATTATTCATAATAGCCAAAAACTGGAAACAACCAAAATGTCCAGTAACTGATGAGTGGATAAACAAAATATAGAATATTTATACAATGCAATATTATTCCACAATAAAAAACAACTAAGTACTGATACATGCCACAACATGGATGAATCTTTAAAGCATTATGCTAAGTGAAAGAAGCCAGTAACAAAGTTTACTTTGTTTATATTTGAAAAATAAAGTATCAGGCTGGGTGTGGCGGCTCATGCCTGTAATCCCAGCATCTTGGGGTGCCAAGGTGGGAGGGTCACTTGAGGCCAGGAGTTCAAGACCAACCTCACCAAGATCCTGTCTCTACTAAAAATACAAATATTAGCCAGGCGTGGTGGTGCACACCTTGTAGTTCCAGCTACTCAGGATGCTGAGGCATGAGAATCACTTGAACCTGAGAGGTGGAGGTGAGCTGAGATCACAACACTGCATTTCAGCCTGAGTGATAGAGTGAGACTCTGTCTCAATAAACTAAAATACATTAAAATAAAATAAAATAAGCAACTCTATAGAGACAGAAAGTAGATTACGTAGTAGTTGCCTAGAGCTGAGGAGGCGGGGGGTGGAGGGCAGTGGTGCCGGGAGGAAATCATAGTGACTGCTAATGGGTACAACACTTTTGAGGTGATACAAATTGTTCCAAAATTGATTGTGGTGATGGTGCACAACTCTGTGAATATACAAAAAACTATTGAATTGTACACTTCACACAGGTAAACTGGTATGTGAATACCTCGACAAAGCTATTGAAAAAAAGAAAGAGATCCTTTTGTAGTTCATGAGCATAATGATTGGGTATTCACACACATGTGTAAGATGTGCCACCCTTGAACTTTGTTATGACCCTGGCACGTTACCCATCTGACCCGAAAAAAAAATAAAGAAAAATAAAAGTCTCATAAAAGTGTCATAGATTGATTTAGTCTAATGTACAAAATACTCTGGCCTATCTGTAGAGAACTGGACAGAATATCCTGTGATGTGATGTATGGGAGGGCTGTAGCAACATTTATGTCCGTTCCTCTCTCTCTTTTTTGTCTCTTTTGTCCTTTTCTCCTCCTCTCCACACACATATTATCTATTCTTTATTATCAGCTATCTATTGACCCAACAGTGTGGATAACAAAGCATCTGAAGACTCATTCTTGTTGCTCCCAAGTCTATGGCAGCTGAGCCATTATTCCTATCTAGATAGGACTTGCTTCTGCATCTGCAATCAGCAGTCGATCTCGGCTAGGCTCTCTCCGGTATTGGGGGGTTGACTGGAACTTGTGGGGCTAGGATGGTCTCTGCTTTTCCCCACGTGTCTTTGCATTCCTCCAGTGGGCTAGCTGAGACAAGCTGTCATGCTGGGGCAGAGATGCACTAGTGAGCATGCAGAAATGCACATGTGCTTTTCAAGCCCCTGCTCGTCTCGCGTCTGATAACATTCCATTGGCCTAAGTATGTTCCTGGAGAAACATTCACCAACAGGAAGAAAGGACAACAAAGTTACAAGGCAAAGAGTGTGGAGCCAGGTAGCCTTTAATTAGGACTATTAATACAATGCATGGACCGCTTTATAAGTTCATGCTTATCTGTTTCATAAACTCTAGGTTGTTTACCAAAGATTTGGAATTCAGTCATTTCCTCCTCTAAGTGAAACTTTTTTTCTATTTTTATTTGTTATTATAGAAGTATAAGGAATGAGTCAGAGAATATAGACAAGTTAAATGAACATAAAGAAGTATGATATACCAGGCGTGGTGGCTCATGCCTGTAATCCCAGCACTTTAGGAGGCCGAGGTGGGTGGATTCCTTGAGCCCGGGAGTTAAGACCAGACTGGGGCAACATAGTGAGACCCTGTCTCAACAAAAAAAAAAATTTTTTAAGTGTGATATTGTCCCTTTCCTAGAGATAATCACTCTTGAGATACAATCTTCCACATATTTATCTCTACATTTATAATAGGTAAATATACACATAGATATCTTTCTCATTATATATGTATAGATACATACATATATGTGTATAATGAGAAATATTAATTTAGAACCATCATTTGATCTTGATGAAGCTATGTTTCACTGACTGATCTGTAAAACTCACCTCTGCTTATGGAAATTCATTGTCTCCAGGCACAGCCATCTTGTGCTGTGTATAACTCTGTCTATGGAATGACACACTTTGGCTTCTGCAGCAGGCGTGACTTCTGGTATTCACATGGTTGGTAATATTACCACATGTCCCATAAGATGGTAAACGTTGACACACAAACATTATATAGTCATCGTGTATTTTCCTGAGAAATTAAAATTATTTATTTAAACATATACTTTATTTCCATTCCTTTTCTTTGAGCCCATTTTTGTCAGTTTATTACTGGTATAAGAGTGTAACCAAACAAAAATATAAATAATCATAGGGTCGGGCATGATGGCTCATTCCTGTAATCACAGCACTTTGGTGGGCCAAGGTGGGTGGATCACTGGAGGTCAGGAGTTTGAGACCAGCCTGGCCAACATGATAAAATCTCATCTCTACTAAAAACACAAAAAATTAGCCAGGCATGGTGGTACATACCTGTAATCCCAGCTACTTGGGAGGCTAAGGCAGGAGAATTGCTTGAACCCAGGAGGCAGAGGTTGCAGTGAGCCAAGATCGCACCACTGCACTCTAGCCTCGGCAACAGACAGATTCCATCTCAAAAAAAATAATAGATTTCCACCATACAAAAAATACCAAAACCACTGTAACAAGAGTGTCCATCTCCCTTCTATATACTTTATTGCAGGACTGTTCAGCCCTTATTTCCTCCATATAGTTTATGTAATCTAATCTAGAATTTCTGGTGTTCCCCAGTGACTCTGTTGCCTGGCTGGCCTGGTCCTACTGTCTTGTATACCAAATAGTCATCAGGAGAAGCCATATCTAATACTTCTCTCACCACTACTCAAGATTGTAAAGAGTTCACCTTCCTCGCCTTATTTTACTGATAAGTGCCCAGCAGGCTGTCCTTGAAAGAGACTTGATAGCTATCTTGCCTCTGGAAAGAGTTGTGGGGAAAATACTGATCATTACTAGTGATATTCCAGTTTTGACCACATGTCATAATGAGGACTCTGTTTGCTACACACATGTCTTATGCACTAGAGACAGGGTAGGAACTGAAGCACAAAGTGAAGGTTTACCAAACTCATTCCAGCATATCATAATGCAACTGTGAATAATAATATGTGGCTAAAAAATGACAAGTGAAACAAATGCTATAACAGATGGTGACTGGCCCACAGTAAACCTGAATTTGTCACCTAATTATATTTGTCACCTAATAAATTGTCACCCTAATTATAAAGCTATAGTAAACAAAACAATGTGATATGGGCACAGGGATAGACAATTGGCACAACAGAGAGACCAGAAATTGACCTGTGGATAAATGCGGACCTGATAGATGACATATACATGGGGAAAAGAGTAAATAGTACTGGAAAATTTGGTTATCTATGGAAAAAATGAAAGTGGACCCTTACCTTACATCAATCATAAAAATCAATTCAGGGTCAGGCATGGTGGCTCACACCTATAATCCCAGCATACTGGGAGGTTGAAACAGGGCAGATTGCTTGATCTCAGGAGATCAAGACCAGCCTGGGCAACATAGTGAGACCCCTGTCTCTACCAAAAACACAAAATTTAGCCAGGCATGGTTGTGTGCACCAGGAGGCTCAGCTACTCAGTAAGCTGAGGTGGGAGGATCACTTGAGCTCAGGAGGCAAAGGCTGCAGTGAGTCAAGATTACACCACTGCATTCCAGCATGGGTGATAGAGTGAGACCCTGTCTCAAAAAAAAAAAAAGAATGCAATCAAAAATCAATTAAGAATGGATCTAAATGTGAAGGGCAAATATTTAGATAATATTTAGATAGTAGAATGAGTAGAAGAGCTTTATGACTTTGGGGTGGAGAAGGATTTTTTAAACAAAACACAAAAGCACAAACCTTTAAAAAATGATTAATTGAAGACTACATTAAAAGTTTAGCATCCTGAATATGTAAAGAACTCTTACGAATCAGCAAGAAACAACAGAAGAGAAAAAGCAATGCAAAAAAGATCTGTCAAGACATTTTACAGAATAAAAAATATGAATTGTTGCTGGACATGGTGGCTCATGCCCATAATCCCAGCACTTTGGGAGGCCAAGGCCAACGGATCACCTGAGGTCAGGAGTTCTAGACTACCCTGGCTAACATGGTGAAACCCCATCTCTACTAAAAATACAAAAATGACCAGGCGTAGTGGCATGTGCCTGTAATCCCACTACTTGGGAGACTGAAGCAGGAGAATTGCTTGAACTCGGGAGGCAGAGGTTGCAGTGAGCTGAGATCACGCCACTGCACTCCAGCTGGGGCAATACAGTGAGGCTCCTTCTCTCTTTTTTTTTTTTTAAGACAGGGTTTCACCATATTGGTCAGGCTGGTCTTGAACACCTGACCTCAGGTGATCCGCCCACCTTGGCCTCCAAAGTGCTTGGATTACAGGCGTGAGCCACCACGCCCGGTGAGACTCCTTCTCAAAAAAAAAATATATACACATATGAATTGTCAATAAGTACACAAAATAGATGCTTGACCTCATTCATAGTCAGGGAAATGCAACACCAAACCTTGGTAGGGCATATTATCACTGCTAAAGTGTCAGAACCACTATTCACTGCCACTGAGAGTGTAAACTATACAACTAGTTGGGGAAACAGTTTGATATTTTATTAAAAGTGCACAAACCCTATGACTCAGTGATTCAATTCTCACATGTCTACATCCTAGAGAAAGCATGGGTACCAGGAGACATGGGAAATTAACTTGTTTTTTGTTTGTTTTTGTTTTTATTATACTTTAAGTTCTGAGATACATGTGCAGAATGTGCAGGTCTGTTACACAGGTATGCACGTGCCATGGTGGTTTGTGCATCCAGAAAATGATCTTAAAACACTGTTTTTTGGGGGGGCTCCCGCCTGTAATCCCAGCACTTTGGGAGGCTGAGGCGGGCAGATCATGAGGTCAGGAGTTTGAGGCCAGCCTGGCCAACATGGTAAAACCCTGTCTCTACTAAAAACACAAAAATTAGCCAGGCATAGTGGTGCAGGCCTATAATCCCAGCTACTCTAGAGGCTGAGGCAGGAAAATTGCTTGAACCTAGGAGGTGGAGATTGCAGTGAGTCAAGATTATGCCACTGCCCTCCAGCCTGAGCAACAGAGCAAGACTCTGTCTCAAACAACCAACCATTGTTTTTAATAGCAAACAAACCAACAAATATAATTGGAAGCAACTCATTGTTCATAGATGGGAGATAAATTGTGGGATGTTCATGAACTACAGTTGCATGGATCAACATGGTTGAATATACAACACTGAGTCAAAAATATTATGTGCCTTATTATGTATTTTATTTTATTTACTTATTTTTTGAGACAGAGTCTTGCTCTGTTGCCCAGGCTGGAGTACAGTGGTGCAATCTCGGCTTACTGTAAGTAACCTCCGCCTCCTGGGTTCAATTGATTCTCCTGCCTCAGCCTCCTGAGTAGGTGGGATTACAAGCATGAACCACCACATCCAGCTAATTTTTGTATTTTTGGTGTTTTGCCACGTTCACCAGGCTGGTGTCAAACTCCTGACCTCAGGTGATCCACTCGCCTTGGCCTCCCAAAGTGCTGGGATTACAGGCATGAGCCACCATTCCTGGCCTATTATGTATTTTAAACAATATTGTGTACCTAACAAATACATGATAGTATAATTTTGTTTACATAAATTATGCCTTTTAAAATCAGCAAAGCCAAACAATATTTTTGTGGATACCTACATGTGTAGAAATAGCATAAAAACATGCTAGTACATGAGAAAGAAAATATTCAGAATGATGACTCCAGGGGAGAGAGGGAAGGAAATGGGTTTGGGGAGAGGTTCATAAACAGTTGCAACAGTGTTATTACTTTGTTTCTTTTTGGTAAAGACCTGAAACAAGAGAGCACACTAAGACTTTATGACGCTAATGGTGGCTTTATGGAAGTCAGCATATTTTTTTCCTCTATACAGTCAATTAGTATCCATAAGAAACTTGTTTTTCAAAGACAAGAAAAAAAAGTGAAGGAGGAAAGTGCTGACGGCAGCCGCCCTCAGTGGGAGCTGACTTCTGCACCAACTCCCTCTCTCGCTCCGCTCCATGGCCGGGCCAAGTGCCAAACAGAACTGTGGGCTGGGAGGGTCCCTCTGGGATTCTGCCTCCCTGCAGACTAAGGCACCTGGGGAGACATGAGGCTGGACTCAATCTGTCCCACTTTGACGTTCCTTGCCCTACACGAGGCTTTGGGATGAAGGGTTTAGGGAGAGTGGGCTGCCCACTGTGCTTCTTACCTGCAGCTGCCCTGTGTGCCTTCAGTGAACACTGTGTCTGCTGCAAAGGAGGTGTCCAAAATGTGTTTGCTGAATTGACCCAAGCCATTATCAGCACTTCAGTGTGCTGGGAGGACATGAAAATAGCTGCACAGTGAAGTGGTGTTTGCTGGTGTCTGCCCCGTTCCCTGCCTCTGCCAGCTCTCTCGCAATATTCCCTGGGAAACCTAGCCTGTTTGCAGGAGGCTGACAGCAGGTGTTCAGACTTTTTAGGATTTGGGCTTAATTTCAGATGACCAGGACAACCTGGGCTCTTCTGCAATGAAAAGCAGATTCTGCTGTTTTTTTCCTGCCTTTTAACATTTCAAGCCAAGTTCCTATGCCCATCCACCCATATAAAACTTCCTTGTTCAGAAAGTCATCTGCACAACTGGCAAAGGCACCATCTCGGAGTTTTCTATTTTTATTCCTGTGTGTAATCAATGGGAACACACTGTGACGGAAATAAAAGAATTACGAATTGATAAGAGCAAACCATTGATATTTGCTTTTGTTCCTGGGCAAGCTAGTGAAGGAACATGTACCCAATGTGTAGAAATATAATGGTCATTTTATGCTTCTGTCTTCTTACAGAAACATTTCAACAATTTCTGTGTTTATTTTCAGGGAGGAAAAAAATATGCTTTCAAAATTCAAATTGTGTAAGCTTGAAAAACATTTTCACACAGGCTGATTTTCTAGAAACATTGAAATATAAGATATTATCAGCCCTTTCTCCTCTAAATTATTAATCTGTGACTTCAATACTTATTTTCTGTCATTCTCTTATAATAAAAAATAATTGATTCTCCAACTCAGTAACACTATTGACAATTTTTTAAAAATCTTATTTCAAAAACTGTAATCTAACATAAGCTCTTTTTATTTTCCACAGTCATCCTTTCTGGCCCTGCTACTTACAAAGATATTCTTTTTACATAGCAGAATCTCAGCATATAGTTTTATATTCTGTTACTTCACTTAGGTATATGATATGATTTCAAACTAAAATGGCATGTGAGTCTCATGACTTTATAGTCATGTTGACAGTACTCTATCACATATGTATTTATAGATAGATTAAAATTCTGTTTATTCTAGAAGTATCTGTGTGCATTTTTATTGTGCGTAAATGTCATTTCAATGTTAAAATCATTCAAACTTTTTTTTTTTTTGGGGGGGACAGAGTCTCACTCTGTCACCCAGGCTGGAGTGCAATGGCTCAATCTCAGCTCACTGCAACCTTTGCCTACCAGGTTCGAGCAATTTTCCTCCCGAGTAGCTGGGACAACAGGTGCGTGCCACTACGCCTGGCTAATTTTTTTTCTTTTTTTCTTTTTTTGTATTTTTAGTAGAGACGGGGTTTCACCATGTTAACCAGGATGGTCTCAATCTCCTGACCTCTTGATCCGCCCTCCTTGGCCTCCCAAAGTGCTGGGATTACAGGTGTGAGCCACTGCAACCGACCAAAAACCATTCCGACTTTTAAAAGTTGTCTCTTTCACACTGGCAGCCTTCTCACCAAGATAGAAAAAAGATTTGTTTAGAGCCTAAAGCTGAGCAAAAGTGAGATACCTCGAAGAGTCAAGGTCATAGAGGCAGAAAGCAGAATGACCATTTCCAGGGGCTCTGGGGAGGGAGGAATGCAGAGTTGTTTAACAGGAGTTTTAGTTGGAGAAGATTAAAAAGTTCTGGGGATAGACAATGATTCACAGTGATGTGAATGTTTCTAATGCCACTGTACTGTATGCTTAAAAAAGGTTAAAATGGTAAACTTTTTGTTACCTATATTTTGCCACAATAAAAAGAAGTTTTTAAAAACTAAACAAAGTTCATCAGAAAATAATAACGTTTGCTTCTGCAAAGTCATTTTGAAATGTGAAAAAATGTCAATAAGAAATATATTAATGTTAAAAACATCTTGAGTTTCAGAATAGCAGGTTCAGAAACAAGGGAATAAAAGAATTTCACCTTAAAAGTAATTAAAAACTAAACTAAACACATGTGGTTCATAGACCTACAGGAAATGAAGACTATGAAATTCTGGGAGGCCAAGAATTAAGTGGTAATTAGTTAACTAGTTCAAAGTCTCTTGCCTAGTGAATCACAGAGACATGTGAAAATCTAGGCAATTTCTACTGGATGTTAAAAAATGGTTTACGTTTTCAACCTCCTGAGAATTTGAATTTTTAAATGGTATATTGTATTTGAATTTGTTTTAAAATTCATTAAATATATATTGTTTTCAATTTTTTAAAAATAGTTTTTCTGGCTATAAAAGTATACGTCCTTTGTAAACAATTTAAAAATAAAGTATAGGCCGGGCGCGGTGGCTCAAGCCTGTAATCCCAGCACTTTGGGAGGCCGAGGCAGGTGGATCACGAGGTCAAGAGATCGAGACCATCCTGGTCAACATGGTGAAACCCCGTCTCTACTAAAAATACAAAACATTAGCTGGGCATGGTGGCGTGTGCCTGTAATCCCAGCGACTCAGGAGGCTGGGGCAGGAGAATTGCCTGAACCCGGGAGGCGGAGGTTGCGGTGAGCCGAGATCGCGCCATTGCACTCCAGCCTGGGTAACAAGAGCGAAACTCCGTCTCAAAAAAAAAAAAAAAAAAAAAAAAGTATAAATTAAATTTAATTAATTAAAATCACCCCTACCCATTCCTAATAGATAAAATTTGTTAATATTTTGGTATATCTCTGTCTAAGGCTATTTTTTTAAATTTTCATTTTTATTTTTTATAGAGATAGATTCTCACTACATTGCCCAGGTTGTTCTCAAACTCCTTGGGCTCAAGCAATCCTTCTACTTTGGAAAGTAGATTTCCAAAGTGTTAAGATTATAGGTGTGAGCCACCAAACCCAGCCAAGACTATTTCGTGTACACATAATTGAAATTATTATGCATAAAATTTTGTTTCCTCTTATCTTCACTTAATATTATATTGTATCATAGGTCTTTAAGTTATCAAAGGTTCTTCGTATTTTTTGAGGCAGATTTTCACTCTGTTACCCTGGCTGGAGTACAATGGCATGATCTTGGCTCAATGCAACCTCTGCCTCCTGGGTTCGAGCGATTCTCATGCCTCAGCCTCCCAAGTAGCTGACATTATAGACACCTTGCTAATTTTTGTATTTTTAGTAGAGATGGGGTTTTACCAGGTTGGCCAGGCTGGTCTTGAACTCCTGACCTCAGGTGATCCACCAGCCTCAGCCTCCCAAAGTGCTGGGATTACAGGCATGAGTCACCATGCCTAGCCTTACAAATAAAATTTTAAATGCATTCAGTGTATTCTGTCTTACGGCTACATCAGAATTTGCTTAATATCCGTCTCTTTATTGTTGGATATTGTAGGGGCTCAGAACTTGATACCATAATAGATAGCACTTTGGCATGCTGAGTGTTTTGAGCTGAAGGAGACTGGAAGAGCCTCAGAAACAGCAAGTTCCCTCTGGCCTTCTCCCTCCCTCCTTTCTCTTTCACTCATTTCTCTCTAGAAGCAGGCTGTAGAAAATAGAATTCTTCCCTGAGGCAGGTCATACAAACTGGAACTTCTCACCCCTAAAGCAAGCCATAAATTCTAGAGAGTCACTCTCTGAGCATCTCCCTTCTCCCCTGAAGACCCTCATGTGACAGGTATCCTGCTCTATACCTGGAGAAAAGAGTGCTACTTTTGTATTTTTAGACATAATGCTATTGCACTCTCGGTAGACTACAATATAATGTAAACACAACTTTCCCCCCTTCTCTATGGTGAAGGGAGCATAACTTTTATATGTACTGAGAAACCAAAAAACTTTGTGTGACTCACCTTATGATATTTGCTTTATTTTTGTGTATAAAGCCTTTGTTTACCTTTCAAATGATTATTTAAATAGAGTTCTAGAAGTAGAATTACCATGTAAAGATTACAAATATCTTTACAACTCTTGGTTTATGTTGCTAAATAGCTTTTTTTTTCAGAAGGGCATTACAAATCTATATTTTCTTTTCTTTTTTTTTATTTTCATTTTGAGGCAGGGTCTCATTCTGTCACCCAGACTGGAGTGCAGTGGTGCCATCATGGCTCATGGTAACCTCAACTTCCTGGGCTCCGGAGATTCTCCCACCTCAGCCTCCCCAGTAGCTGGAACCACAGGTGCACAGCACCACATTGGGCTAATTTTTGTATTTTTTGTAGAGACTGGGTTTTGCCATTCTGCCCAGGTTGGTCTCCAACTCCTGGGCCCAAGCAATTCTCCTGCCTAGGCCTCCCAAAGTGCGGGGACTTACAGGCATGAGGCACAATGCCCAGCCCACAAGTTTATACTTTCAACAGAAAGATATTACACCACTGAGTAAGAATAATAAGACCTTTGGGAGGCCGAGGCGGGTGGATCACGAGGTCAAGAGATCGAGACCATCCTGGTCAACATGGTGAAACCCCATCTCTACTAAAAATACAAAAATTAGCTGGGCATGGCGGTGCACGCCTGTAGTCCCAGCTACTCCGGAGGCTGTGAGGCAGGAGAATTGCTTGAACCCAGGAGGCAAAGGTTGTGGTGAGCCGAGATCGAGCCATTGCACTCCAGCCTGGGTAACAAGAGCGAAACTTATCTCAAAAAAAAAGAATAATAAGACCTAATATTCATGAGCCACTTAGTTTTTAACCAAGTGCTAATTACTAAATATGGACTAGCTCATCTTTAAAATCTTGTATAGTGTTGGTGAAAAAAGATTTCTGTTGTTTGAGTCCCAATAGTAGTCCCAATAGCTGGAACTACAGGCATGTGCCACCATGTCTGGCTAATTTGTTTTTATTTTTTGTAGAGATGGCGTCTTCCTATATTAGCCAGACTGGTCTTGAGCTCCTGGGCTCAAGCAATTTCCCACCTAAGCCTCCAGAAGTGCTGAGATTACAGATGTGAGCCACTATGCCTGGCTATTTTTATGATTTCTTTTGAGAAATGTCTATTCATCTCCTTTGCCCACTTTTCAATGGGATTATTTGGGTTGTTTGAGTCCCTTGTGTATTCTGGACTTAACTCCTCTGCGGGATGAAGAGTTTGCAAACATTTTCTCCTTTTAAACAGGTTGTCTCCACTCCGTTGTTTCCTTTGCTGTGCAGAAGTTTTTTAGTTTAATATAGTCTAATTTGCTTATTTTTATGGGGTTTTTTCTCTGCTTTTGAGGTCTTAGCCATAAATTCTTGCCCTACACTCGTGTCCTAATGTGTTTTCCCTATGTTTTCTTCGAGTAGCTTTTAGTTGTAGGTCTTATGTTTACGTCTTTCTTCCATCTTGAGTTGATTTTTGCATATGGTGATGGATAGGGTTCCAATTTTATTTTTTTGTAGAAGGATATCCAATTTTACCAGCATCAATTATTGAAGAGGGTGTCTTTTCCCCAATATCTGCTCTCAGCACCTTTGTAGAAAATCAGTTGGCTGGAAATAAGTGTATTTACTTCCGGATTCTGTGTTCTGTTCAATTGGTCTATGTGTCTGTTTTTATACCAATGCCATGCTACTTTGGTTACTATCTCCTTGCAATATATTTTGAAGTCAGGTAGTGTGATGACTCTTGTTTTGTTCTTTTTCCTCAGGATTGCTTTGGCTCTTCAAGGTCTTTTT